TACAGGAGGACCTTGTTGTTTATCCATTCTACATAGAATAGTTTGCATCTGCTAATCCCAAACTCCCAATCCTTCCCTCCTCCCCCTTGGCAACCACAAGTCTGTCAGAGAAGCCAAGATTTGAACCCTAAGAATCCAGTCACTAAACCACAACCTTATATACTGGCTTTACTCCTCAGGAGCGCCCCGGGGCACAGATAGTGTTTCCTGCTGCCACCATACAGATGGCAAAACTGAGGATTGATTAGCCAGGAGGAGTGGCTGGCAGGGCCAGGTGTCCAATACATGTGGCTGGTACAGCTCAGAATCAAAGGGGAGGAGGTGCCTCTGTTTTCTCATCTGTAAAATGGGGGTTTAGCCCCTTCCATGTGCCAAGCACTGCTCCATGGGAGGTAGGTACTGTTACCCCCTTCTGTTACAAGTAAGGAAACTGAGGCACCAGGAGGCGCATTCTCTCGTCCAAGGTCACTAGGCTCCACCGTCCTCTATGCTAAGCCGCCTCCTCTGTCACCAGTTCCCATCTCTTGGGCTTATGATGAGTTAAATGAATCACTAAGCTGTAGAGCTGCACTGTCCAGTAAGGGACCCACCAGCCACATGTGGCTACAGGACACTTGAAATGTAACCAGTACCACTGAGGAACTGAATTTTTAATTTTATTCAATTTAAGTGTTTAAATTTAGATAATGATCCTTAATTCAGTTATTGGAAAGCTTTTATGCCTGCTTGGAACAAGTAGGGTCTGTGAAGCTTCTTTTTCAACTAAATTTTACAAAATCTAAAAATACAGATCAAGTATCTCCAGTGAAAATATAGCATCTGCATGAGATGTGCCACACATCTGGATTATGAAGCCTGAATGTGGGAAAAAAAAGAAAGTAAAGTATCCCATTCATATTTTTGCGTTGATTACATACTGAAATGATAATATTTTTGATATATAGTGAGGGTCGGTATACTATGGTCTCCTTTTTCACTACGGCCCCGCAAGCTAAGATTAGTTTTTATGTTTTTAGAAGGTTGAAAAAAGTGAAAAGAAGAAAAATACTTTGTGGCACATGAAGATTTTATGAATATACACACTATTATGTGTAAAATAAACAACAAGGACCTACTGTATAGCACAGGGAAGTATACTCAATATTTTGTAATAACCTATGTGGGAAAAGAATCTGTAAAAAAATATACATATATATAACTGAATCACATTGCTGTACACCTGAAACTAAGAGGACATTGTCAATCAACTACACTTCAATGAAAATAAAGAAACAAAGAGAATTATATGAAATTCAAATGTCAGCGTCCTTACATCGTATTATTGGCACACCACGCTCATCTGATTACATATCGTACACAGCTTGATTTCTCACTATGCCAAAGTGGAGTAGTTACAATACTCAATGGTATGGCCCTCAAAACCCCAAGTATTGACTGTCTGGCCTGGTACTGAAAAAATGTGCCGACTCCTGATAGCTTAGGTTAAAGAAAATGTTATTATTAAAATTAATTGCACGTGTTTCTTTTTCTCTTTTTAGTGTGGTTACTAGAAAATTTTAAATTATGTATGTGGCTTATATTATGTTTCTCTAGGGCAGAGCTAAGGTACAGCTTTTAGCCTGGTTCTAGTAACTGGTCAGTATTAGCAAGTATTATTTCTTCTGGAATCCTCCTTCTCTGTCTCTGCCTGAGTTTCTGGGGGTGGCCCAATTCATGCTGGGGATCAGCGAGATGGCTGGGTATCTGGAGGGTTCTAAACCCAACAACAGTCATGATAACACGTGTCGGCTATGGACACACAACTCCACACGTATACTCACACATGATGAGAGACACACAGAGCGTGCCCCCATAGGAAAACAGTCATGTTCTGAAAGATGACTCCAGACACCTGCCCTTAGAATTTAGTGATCCTGAAACTAACCGACATCAGCCCCCCTCCGCCACCACTGACAGCCACACAGGTGAACTCCAGGACACATGCCCTTCAGCAGGAAGGAAAAACACCAGGAAGAGATGCCCAGGCGGCAACCAACACACAGACACCCACCCGTGGGTCTGGAGCAATGGGGCAGATGCAAGTTTCAGAAAACAATAGTAACAGTTGAGACTGAACCATATGAAATTGCCATTTTCACCAGTCAAAAGAGACCGGAGATTGGCGATTTCATTTGGCTCAACTGAATATTTACTGAACACCTGAAAGTAAAATCCAGAGCACCGTGTCAAGCAAAGACAGCTCTCTTCTCCCTTTCCTGGGCACACAGACGCACACGGATTTACAGTCAGGTCAGCACCGTCAGGCCACATCTGACACGCGTACAGGCGGGATGGCACACACTCACGGGGTCGCTGTCCGGCACAGGAGCACACGCGAGCTCCCCAGCACTGGCGGTTCCCCGCACACACGTGGTCACACACGTGCTGGTGGTCCCCGCACTCACACACACACCTGTCTCATCGCTGTGGGTCCGGCGGGCCTCTCTCCTCTCCTGATGGCTGCTCCCCGAGTCTCTCTGCTGCCCGAGAGCTGGGGGGTGATTTGAAGAGAAGCGCGGGCGGGGGCGGGAGGAGGGGCTGACGTCAGGGCTGAGCTGGGCCAGGGGCCCTGAGGTCACGGCGGCGGAGAGTCAGGCAGCCCCACCCGCTTCCCGCTACCACCCGCGCCGCGCCAGGCCTCCCTTCCCAGCGCCCCCATCCTCGCCCTTCTGTCTCCCGCTGAGCCCCCCCATCGCACCCCCTCCTTTTCCCTCCTCTCCCCTCGATTTCTTCTCTCTCTCTGCTCTCGTCTCTCCCTCCACTTCTGGATTTCTCTCCATCACTTTCTTTCTCCCCACCTCCCTCGTACTCTCACGACCTCTCTTTCCTTCTCTCTCCCGCGTGGCTCTCTCTTTCCCCCTGTCCCAGACCTCCTCGCCTCCCCACTTCTCCACCTCAGTCCCCCCACACACTGCCCCTCCCGTCGGATGCTCAGAATCCGTCTGGGATTGGGTTCCCCGGGGACTGGTGGTGGCCACTGGCAGATGCAATCAAATGCACACACGTGAGTGCTTGCGGAGGTGACTGTGTGTGCGCTGGCCTGGGAGGCCTTCTGTCTGGAACTGGATCTGTGAGTGAACGTCTGAACGTTCAGTGCCTAATTGATTCGGGTCCACGTGCGTTTGCTTGTGTGTGTGTGTTGTGTGTGTGTGTGTGCGCGCGCGCGCGCGGCACGAGTGCGTGCATAGGTGCCAGCGTCTGGGGAGGGGGCTGGGACACTGGGATTTGTCTCCTCAGAGCCTCCAGGGTAAACTCAGAGTTGTTGGTCAGCTGCCCCCAGGGAGCCTGGGAAACTGAGTCAGAGCAAAAGTGGAAATGGCCTCCCTCGGAGACCAAAGAGACAGGGGTGCTGGGGTGTCTGAGTCCCCAGCTCCTCAGGACTAGAAGACTCGGTGATAAATGTCATTGTTTCCATGCCCTTCTTTTCATGATTTAAAGAAAAAAAAAAAATCTCTGGATCTAGTTCTTTCTCTCTGCTCCTCTTAGTATGAACTCATAACGTCTGTCTCTCTCCCTGTGTCTGTGACTCTGATTATGTATTTTTGTACCTGCCCATCTCCTCTCTCTTTGTCTCTGTCTTTCTCTGAGTCTATCATTTTGTCTCTGTCCCCCTGGCTTCGTTTCTCCGTCCATCTCCCTGTCTGGTTCTTTCTCTCTGTGTTCCAGTCTCTCTCCTTGGCTTCCATTTCTACCTGCTTCCTTCTGGGTTTGTGTCTGTCTCTAAATTTCTGACTCTCCATCTCCCTACTTTGTTGTTCTGTGTCTCTCTTTCTTTCTCTCTCCGACTTTTTCATCCTTTTTCTCTCTTTTCTCTCTTCCTTCCTCTGTGTTTCTCTGCCTGTGTCTCTCTTTGTATACTTCTATCTCCTTCTTTCTGTTTCTATCTGTATTCTTAGCTTTTTATTTTTCCCTGTCTCCCAGTTTCTGTTTCTCTGTTTCTCCCAGATCTCTCAGTGGCTGCCCGATTCTCCTTTCTCTGCATCTGTCTGTCTGTCTCTCTCTTTCTCAATCTCTCTCCTCGCTCGGTCTCTCTGCATCTCGGTGTATCTCTGACGCTCTATCTCTGTGTGTGTTTCTCTCTCTCTGACTCTCTCTCTCTCCCTCTCATACTGTTCCTCTCTGTTTTTCTGTCTCTAAGTCCTCATGTCTCCCTGCTGCTTCATCTCTTCCAGTCTGTTCTGGAGCTTTCCCCTGCAAGATGCCCAGTCCTCACTCCCGGGGTTTCCCAGGACAGGCAGGGTGTGCTGCGCCCACACCAGGTTGGGTCTCTGCCTGAACCTGGCTGTCAGGGAGAAGAAAGCTAGTTCAGGGCCCCAGTCAGGGGCACCCCGCCCACCTCGCCAGGGCAGGGCCGGCCATTTCTGAGTCTCTGACGCCGTTGCTGGGAGCCTAGGCCACCGCCTGGTGTCTGGCTATGTCAGGATGATGGGTCCTCCAGTGGGAGCCCAGCCCAGAGTAGGAGGGGAGGGTGATTCCTCTACCCCAGGATGGGGGGGTGGCAGCCCCAGCTCCACTCAGAAGCCGGGCAGTTGGCTGCCCAGCCCCCTACCCCACCCTGCCCGGGTGGAGCAGCTGTATAAAACCAAATGTTTCCAAAACCGGAGTGTGGATGAGGGAGGAGGAACCAGGACTTTAAACCCCAATAGTTTCTTCCACCAGGATCCAGGAGTCCAAGCCCCCAGCCTTTCCTCCCTCAGACCCAGGATCCAGGCCCCCAGCCCCTCCCCCCTCAGACCCAGGGGTCCAGACCCCCGGCCCCTCCTCCCTCAGACCCAGGATCCAGGCCCCCAGCCCCTCCCCCTTCAGACCCAGGAGTCCAGGCCCCCAAGCCCTCCTCCCTCAGACCCTGGGGTCCAGGTCCCCAGGCCCTCCTTCCTCGGACCCAGGGGTCTCACAGCACCTGCCCCCTGGAGATCTGGGATGTCTCCTTCCCACCCCCCTTCAGACTTGGGCCCTGTCCCTCAGGACTCACGCTGGCAGGGCATCCTTGGGGAGCGGCTCTGCTGGTAGCCGGGACCACAGCGGCTGCATGTCAGGCCAGTGACCCCTAACTTGCAGGAGCACTGCCCACTGGTCTGGTTGCAGGTACCACCTGTCGCCCCGATAGGATGGCACTGGCAGGCTACATGAGGAGAGGAGCTGGGGATGTGTGGTGCAGGCTGCCAGCCTCTTCCCCAAGGACTGAGGAGACTGGAATTCCTGGGCCACTCCTCCTCAGACCCAGGATCCAGGCCCCCAGCCCCTCCTCCCTCAGACCCAGGATCCAGACCCCCCCAGCCCCTCCCCCCTCAGACCAGGAGTTCAAAAACCTAACCTCTCCCCCCTCAGACCCAGAAGTCCAGTCTCCCAGAATTTCTTGCAGGGAGAGATGACCAAGGCTGGGAGCAGCCACGACAAGAGCTGAAAGACAAGGACAGACCAAGTGGGCACTCCCACAGGAGGCAGGGACTGGTAGCGGCGGGACCACCTCCTGCTCCCCTCACTAACAGCCATCTCTCCCAGAAGCCTCCACTCCAATGGTGGCTGATCTCAGGTCCCTACCCTGGGTCCACAGTGGCCGTCCCAAGACTTCCATCAACATCGCAAAACCTCAGGCTGTGGTTTACAGAACACAGGACCAAAGAGCGAAAGTGGGGAGATAATAAGGCCTAAATGGAGAAAAGGCAAGGGAAGGAACATTTGTTCCCTATAGGGACATCTCCTGTGCCCCTCGGGGGCCAAGCTCTCAGCTGGGCGATGCTGGGCACATAGAAATGACTCAGACCCGGGCCCTGCCCTTGAGGAGATGCCAGTCTGGTGGAGGAGACAGCTGTGTAAACAGAGGATCACAGACCAGTTTAAGGACAAGGACGCATGAACCCAGCAGGAGAGTCAGGGAGGGCTACCTGGAGAAGGTGATATCCTGGAGGAGGTGAGCCCTGAATGTTGAGAAGTTAGCCAGGGTAAGGACGGCGGGGGTGGGGCTGGGGGTTGAAAGGTGGAACATGAAGGGCATCCAAGACAAGGAATGTCCTAGACAGTCCGGGAAGTACCTGGGAGTTGATGTTGTGGAGGCTGAAAGGGTGACGCACAGGGGTGGGTGCGTAGCAGGGTCCACCCCACGCAGGGTTTTGAATGCCAGATTCAGTGGCTGGGACTTTGTCCTGGGTGCTGGGGAGCCATGGGAGGTCTGGGAGCAGGGGAGAGACAGGGTCAGCTCTGGGTGCCTGTGACGGACACAGAGTGGAGAGACTAGGAGCTTTTGGCCCGGGTGTGTGGGTGTCGGGTTCATACCAGGGTCTTCTTTGGGAGAAAGAGAGCAGAGTGTGAGCTTGGATGCAGGCAGCAGCGGTGGGCCCGGCGGAGTGCTCGGGGACCCGCAGAGTGAGGGAGAACAAAGGCCAGAGAGGAAACCCTGAGGATGGAGGAGCCAGGGAGGTGGACAGCAGATGTGGGGGGCGGACCCACTGAGCCTTTCGTCTGAGCTACGTCTGACTACCTTTGCCTCCTTTTGGAGCTAGGGAGGGTGAGGATTCTAGGGAAGCAACTGGAAGTCTGTGTTCTCTTAATGCCTGAGTCCAGGGGTATGATTTCTCTGCAAGGTGTCCTGACGGGGAGGGAAGCGCTTTGGGAGAATCTAGACACTGAGAGTCAGAGGAGAAAGGAAGAGGGGGAGGAGGTGGGGAGAAGGGAGGG